CTTGGCCGTAAACTCTCATTCATCCTTCAATTCTTGATGTTTCTAAGGCCTAAGCATGTTAAACCTAGTGTACAACAAGTTAGAACAAGAGTACTTATGATCTAGGAGCTTGAATGGTTGGTTTTGGCCAAGAACACTAGTGTGTGTTCTTGGTGTTCGTGGTGAAACTTGAAGATCTACACAAATGGAATGATTTCACGGATGAAATCATGTAATATTACTACATCAAGTAAGCTATCAACTAGTTAGGACAAGAAACTTACTAGTTTTGAAGATCAGGAATGAAGATCAGGATGATAGTTGAAAGGATTTGGGAGGAAATTAGCCAAGGAAAAGAAAGGAATGAACTAATGGCCAACCTTTCATCATATAAGTTGGAGTTTACAGACCACATGGAGTTTACGGCCGTAAAATCCATTGTGGTGGCCGTGAACTCCTTGTCAAGATGTTTCAGGCTTGTTCTTTGTAGTATAGATTCAACAGATAAACCCTGACACTTATCATTTAAGTGTACAAGGCTCAGAACGCTCAAACAAACTCCAAATTGTGCTAAATGATAGTAGGAATGAGTTTGACTTTCAATGAAGTGTTTGACTGTACAGGATAGAAAATTTCGGGTTGTCACAAATGCGAACACCTCAAGAAATAGAACTACAAGCATCAAAGGTTCATACAAGTACATTATTTTTTTAGGTGCAAAAAGGAAATATATATAAATCAAGTTTTTTCTATACATACTCGTATGTTAGTATTGAATATGGATGGGAAGTTTACATTGTGCAACACAACAACACTAAAAGCAAATTTGAAAATGAAGTTAAGGTAATTTAATAGTTCTTTATGAAAAATGTCATGTGTATATTTGAATATGAGAATATTCATATATGAATATGAGAATATCCATATAAATGAATATTCTTATCATTTTAAAGTTAGAACATTTTCATATATGAATATTTATTTATTATTATTCATATATGAATATGTATAATTGTATATGATTAGAATGTAATATTCATATATGAATACTTATATATGATTGTTCATATATGAGTATTCATATATGCATGTAAATGTGTAATTTTTGTTTAAATTGTTTTTTCATTTTTTTATTATGTTTTTGTATCAGGTTGAAATAAAAGTTGAAGAGAAAGAAATAAATTGCAGTTGTGAACATTTCAAGCGTATGGGTGTTTTATGCAGACATGCATTTACAATATGATGAGATGTGGTGTGAAAGAAATTCCTGAAAGGTACATTCTGAAAAGATGGACAAAGGATGTGATATCAAGAAATTATTGTTTACATTCTCTTCAATCTGATTCACGGGATTGTAAGAATGTGAAGCTAGTCAATGATTCATATTATAATTTTGAATCATGTTTGGATATTATAAGAGATGACAAAAAGAAATTTGCTTTGTTTGCTGAGAAGCAACAGATGTTGTTGAAGGAATTTGAGAGTGAGAGTGATTATACATCAGCTGGATTGAAAAGCAAGACGGATGGTGAAGTCATATGCAAGCTTATGGGTGTTTCTATTCCTATTCCAATAGAGATTAATATTCATGTTCCTCAAGTTCAAAGCAATAAAGGTTCTGGAATCAAGAAAAGAATTCCAAGTGCAGGTGAAGTAGTATATGAAAATTCTAAAAAAGAACATAGAATGTGTTCAGGATGTGGAAAACGAGTTCCTCACAATTTACGTACATGTCCCGTAAGAATTGCAGTTGCTCAATCAACAAAAGACATTTAGGGTTTTTGTTTTGTTTTGTTTTGTTTAATGTTTTTTGGTTTTATTCATTTATGAATATATGTAGATAATAACCATAAAGAATAATATTCATGTATGAATAATACACATTTATATTGATATGGTAAATTGAGATTTGAAATATATGTTCTATTAAAATGAATATATCATATTTGTTTTTTAAATAAGTTATATTAAATAAGTTATATTGATATGGTAAATTTATATGTGAAATACACATATTATTTGTAAATAATTCATAAATGTATACATAATGTGTGGATTCATTTATCATTGGAGATGTTATTATTTACATATTAAATGTGAATGAACATACAATGTTCGTATTCAATTATGAATACACTTAAATAAAATTGAAAACCAGCATAAATGAATACAAATATGTGAACTTTGTTAGACTAACAAATAAGTTGTATTCATATTTGAACTTTTTTATACTAACATATTACTCCTAACTTAATCATAAATGAATATATCATATTCGCATTCATTTATGAATTAACAGAAATAAACTTTGAAAATATTTGAATATAAAAAGTTACAAAAATAAGAAAACTTGTTTCTACTAATAAATATGTTATATTCATATATGAAATTTGTTATATTCATATATGAATTTTGTTATACTAACATATTACTTCTAACTTAATCATAATTAAATATACCATATTCGTATTCATTTATGAATAAACATAAACAAACATTGAAAATATTTGAATATAAAAAACTGACAGCTGTTTCTATTACATAATCATTGAAAGTTGTTTCTATTACATAATCATTCAACACAAGAAAATAAAACATGTTCATAAGCATTTCACAAACTATTTAAACGATGTTCAATAGCATTTGACAAACCATCTAAAACTTGTTTCACAGAATCATCTTACATGTACTTCAAATTCATTCATCTTCAACACAAACTGTTTTATATCATCACACTTCATCACAAGCAATCATCAATATTCGTTTAACATTTTTTGAATTATATGCATAGCCTTGTATGCATGAGCAGTACGCACTTTGAATTCAACCTTTTGATATTTTCATCAAGATCCAACATCTTAGCCTTCAACATGTTAATTTTAGAAGTTAGCATTCGATGTGCATACCTTTGCCTAAGATTCTCTAAAGTAGTTTGTTGAATTTCACTTTCTTTATGAAGACATGGTTTCCACTTTGAGAGTGGTTGTCCCATATAGGTCTCCATATATCTCATTGCAAAGACCCCATAATCAAATTTGTTTTTAACTTTTCTCCATGGCATTTCAAGTCGTTGGGGGTGTGATACTTTCTTTTGAGATTGCATTTTGTCTTAGATAGTTTATTTCTTTAAAGTATCTCACAAACAAAAATTTCTGATCACTAAATAAAATAAAAGTTAGATATGTAATAAATTGGTTCTTTTATGTTGTTGTGAATTGGGTACATACCAAGGTTTCAATAGTACTCCGTATTTCCCTTCATATTGATGATTTCTTTAAGTTAAAAACAATCACAAAAATATGAGCACTTCTACCAACTGGAAAGAATACTTGTTTTCATGTATATAATGGTAAGTATTTTGTTGATAAAATATATATTAAAAACAACAAGTTTAATTAACATACCATGTCAATATCTTTTATGTTCAAGATTTTTTTGTACCCATCGGTATTGTCATGAAAGTTCTCCTTGAAATTTTCATACTTTCTTTCATCTGACAATGTTAAAGTTAGATAAGCAGTCTGTAACCAATATAATTTTAAAGGATTAGTAAATTGTTAATCATAAATGAATACATCATGTTCGTATAATAATCATATATATATATATATATATATATATATATATATATATATATATACACACTAAAGATATTTATTTTTGATTTTCTTATTCAAAGATGAATACATAATCATATATTAATTTCAGCTGAATATTCATAATTATTTCAAAGAATACATCATATTGGTTTCAGTTGTAAAAAAATATATAATATTCATAAATGAATACATCATATTGGTGTATTCATTTATGAATAAATAAGAAATTAAGGTTAGAACATAAACTTACAGAAACTCCAACTTGCAAGAAGAGTATGTATGGTGAATTTCCAAATCCCTTCCCAGTTCTTGGTGGTTAAGTAAATCAGTCCGAGTGTCTAAAAATTCTCCAAAAATCTTTGTGCTTGCATATAGACTTTCCATAACTGCTCTTTATTTTATCTGACCATATTTTGTTTACACAACCACATCTCTGCAAATATATAATCAAAATATCATACATTATTATCTATATAATAATCATATATAAATGTCTATAAAATAAAGTTACTTACGATGTATTCCCTTGCAAGTTGAACAACCACTCACAGACAATACTCTCCTGATGTGTCAGTTTAGGTTTTGTGTCTAGTATTCTGCATTAGAAAGGCAACTTGAAAGCATCGACAAGCTTCTTCTCTCTTGGTTCATCCGGATCATGCTTTGATGGTCCTACTTCAGTAGGAATTGCTACAGAGATTGGATTTGTGAATAAGTAATGTATTCATTTATGAACATTATTTATGAATAAGTAATACTATATTTTTATTTATTTTCATATTGTGTTATTAATTTGTGAATAATAAAACTTATTATATTCATTTATTAGTGAATCAACTAATTACCTCTAACTTTTGCATTTCCTTTCTAAATTTCTGTTTGTTTATCTTCACCGCCATCTTTCTTGTTCCTAGTTTTTGCTCCTTCTTTAGTTCCATGTTCAGAGTTTTCCTTGCCTGAAACATATACATCGCATATGAATATTTTATATTTTTTACTCACTTATATAGTGTATTATTCACTTATGAATTAACAATGTTATTAAAAAAATCAATGTAAACATTGTAATATATTTTAAATCATTCATTTACCTGTATCATCTCCTTTTGTTTTTTCAACTTCTTTTCCTTGTTTATATAAACATCCTAATTTTCCATTTTCTCCAAGATCCATTTAATATTATATATTAAATAAAATTAATTAATGAATTAGTGAAATAAATAATGAATTGATAGTAACATACCTTGAATAACTTGACTGATCAGAGTATTAGTTTTACTTCTAGTTATTAGTGACCCTAGTCAAAGTTTAATAAAAAATTGTTATTGTGTATTAATATTTATATATTTTTTTAAAAATAAAAGTAAGTCAAAATTTACCTATATAAATATTATCCAAAATAGTTTTCATTTCAGGGTCATTCTAGAATTCATCTTCTTGACTATTTAAACTTAAAAATCCAATTCCAATGACAGTATCCACAATGTTGTCAACAACTTTATCTAACATATTTTCATTTTCAGTTTGTTGAATAATCTCTTCATGATTATTTGTTTCTTCAGCATCATCATCTTTTTTCTCTTCATCATTGTCATTTTTATAGTTCTTTCCATCTTTCTCTTTTACTTCAGTTTCACCTTCTTTTTGACTCTTATCTCCATCATTCTTTATTCCTTCATTCTCTACTTCATTTGAATCAAGCAAATAATCTACTTCGACTTTCATCATTATCATTGTCTTCTTCACCATTTCCCTCTTTATCTTCATTTTCTTTTTGATCATTTGTTTTTTTGACCCATTATTGGTGTCAAATTGATTCCTTCAACTCCAGTTTCGTTACTTGGAAATTCAAAAAAGTGTTGTGCTTTTAGTTTTTTCTTCAACAATTATATTTGTCATCTTTTATTTGAAAATCCTAGAAGTTTCCTTTTCAAGGAACTTTGTTATCGCATCATTGAATTTTGAATTCAGCTTTTCCTTCATCCTCTCAAAACTATTAAGCATTATATTTTTGATTCATATGCCTATGTAATAAAAAGAAGTATTTAATGTAATTATATATTATTAAGATGTTCAAACTAATTACCTTAATATAATGATCTTCATCTTTATCAGAATCACTAACTTCGATATCTGTATCTCCTTCATCTTGTTCATTAACAAATTCCTCATTTAATTCTCCAAGTCCAAATCTACCTTCTTCTTGTTGAAATGTATCTCGATATCTAATCTTCTTTGAACTCCAATAACAAATTGTTGGATGTTTACATGTTACCATTAAAGCTTCTGAGTGGATTTTATCAGCATAGAACAACTACAAATAAATGATAACTAATTGATATTAATATATGAATAAGTAATTCAAACCATTACTTATTCATATATGAATATATATATATATATATATATATATATATATATATATATATATATATATATCAGTTATGAATAATTAATATTATTAAAAATCGAGTATAAACATTATAATAACTTACCACCAAGAAAGCTGAAGGTCTAACAAAGTAGCTGTTATCTGAGTATTGTATGTATGAGTTCTTTTTTCTGACAAGACAGTCCAAAATATAGATGCACCAATCTATGTTGTTGATATCTCTTTTTCTTGAAATATAACTCAAAGGAAACATGTTGCATCTTCCCATTGATGTTAACTCACAAAACTTGTTGACAAAAAGAGTTAAGAAGTTCCTTTTGAAATTGAAATCAGCTTCTGTTGTACTAACAATAACTTTTTTGATCGCATTCAGTCGAATGATTGATCCTTCTTGAAACTGTTGCTTCCATTCATCATAACTAGAATCATCTTTAGGCCATTGATCCAGTTTTGTAAGTATGGTTCCACCTGTTGGAATGCCCAACATGTCAGGAACAAATTGTGCTATTACTTTCTGTTCCTTTCCTTCAACATCTATCAGCATTCTCTCAGAACCAAATTTTTGAATAATATAAATCCTAACTTCAGTTTATATCTGTTATTTTCGTTTGTAGAAAACTTCCAAAACCCATAGATCTTACATATTCTTTTTCTTTTTTGCTCAACCCAAGGATTATAGATAGTAGTGACTTTGGTGAACATCTGTTTTTCATCGAGTAAAATTCCTTTACCACTGGGTTTTTTTCTCTTTCTTGATTGGTGACTCTTTTTTTTCCTTCTTTGATGGACGACTACTTTCAAAATCAGAGTCTAAATCATGTAGTTGTCGTTTTTCAGGAGTTTTCCTTTTTGATGGACTTTTTCTGCTTTAATGCTTTCTTTTCTTTGGTGTTTTTGTTTCTTTTTTATCTGGGAAATGAAAAATATAATATTTGAATAAGTTATTGATATATGAATATGATATATGCTCGTTGATTTATTTATATTTATTTATTACAAAAATATAACTAAGATATACAATTTTATTCATATATGAATATATTAGATATGATAAGAATTTTGTACCTTTCATATTTTTCCTCTTCAGATATGTTTCTATCATTGTTATGGGGTTTTTATCATAAATACAAATCTTCTTACCTTCATGAATTAGTGAGTAGAAGATAAAAAATTTTGAAATACATTTTACTAAAGATCAATTATCAATTTCAAAAGAAAAATGTTCCAAAACAAAACAACATAAAGGTATGAATACTTGTTTCCATTCACATATTATTAGCTTTTGAATACAAACAAAGCTAAACCATATATTTATTCATATATGAATACAAGAATTCAATAGTTTTTTTTAATATAAAAGATATACAGATTGAATTATTCATATGTTAATAGAAGACAATTATAGGTGGGATATACAAGTTATTTATAAATTATAGCAGGGATATAAAAAGATACGATATGTATTTTATACCTTTTTGCTTTTTCTGCATTGATCGTGTTTCACTCATTGTTGGTGAATCTTTATCGGAAATGTTAGTCTTCTTACCTTCATTCAATAGTGAGTAGAAGATAAATGAGTTTGATATTCACAAATGAATATTTGAATAAAACATATATATTCATATTTTTTATTCACATATAAATATGTATGCTATATTCATATGTAAACAGAACATACATAAGTAATTTTTGTTGTATTCAAATTTGAATAATATATATATGACAGCAAATTATGTTCTATTCATATGTTCTATTCACAAATGAATATTTGAATAAAACATATATATTCATATTTTTTATTCACATATGAATATGTATGTTATATTTATATGTGAATAGAACATATATAAGTCATTTTTGTTGTATTCGTATTTGAATAATGTATATATGACAGCAAATTATGTTCTATTCATATGTCAATATAACATATATATATATATATAATAATATATATATATATATATATATATATATATAATATATATATATATATATATATATATATATATATATATATAATATCAATGTTGTAAAAATCCCGACTACATCCCGATTAATTCCTAGGTGCTACTCGACCGATTAAAGGCCGCCTAGTGATTAATCATTGCATATATAATGAGTGAAACGTTATCGAACGATGGAATTTTAACATTTTGAAGAAGTTTTATCTCAATGGAAACTATTTGAGGCATGATTAGTGTTGTATTAATCATATTAACCTATTTTGTTATCATATTAGTGGTATTTACGTACTTTGATATGATGTTAGTCATATTTATTTTTTAAAAATTCAACAAATTAGCAATTAATGGTACCCGATTAATCTTCCGCCTAACCGATTAATCATTTGACCCAGTCCACCGACTAGCT